ACAGCTCGTCCTGGCTGCAGATCTTCCTGGCCGTGTCAGGGCGCAGATCTTCCAGGCCGTGTCAGGGCGCAGATCTTCCAGATCTTCCTGGCCGTGTCAGGGCGCAGATCTTCCATATTGGCCATTAGGCCCCCAGGCCGGGCTTCACCAGGCCTCACCAGGCCTCTCCATGCCCGGGCGGCCCTCAGCAGCTCCGCCCCCCGCCGGCCATCGAGTCGCCGCCGCATCAGGTTGCTGCGTCAGGCCACAGTTCTTCCTGGCCCCCAGGCCGGGCTTCACTAGGCCTCTCTAGGCCTCTCCGCGCCTGGGCCGCCCTCCACAGTCCTGCAGCTCCGCCCACCTCCGATCGCCGAGCCATCGCTGCGCCGAGCCGCCACAACGGGCCGCAGCTCTTCTTGGCCGCTGGGCCCCAGGCTTCTCCAGGCCCCGCCAGGCCTCCGTTCTTCCCGGCAGTGAGATGGATAAAAAAAATTAATAAATGAAATAAATAAAATGACTGGTTGTAAGTTGAGGATTACTTCTATATCAAGTAGGATATATAACTTTGTTTTCTTGAGGAAGTTAACATTAATCAATAAATATATAGAATTATTTTTGTTCAATCCTTATATTTATTTATTATATTATTTTTAATGAGTATAAAACTTTTGATTAAATTGGTGAGATAGTATTGTACTAATTTCTGATTTATCCCTTATGTACTCATCCCTCATTAAGAGTGTATGTGAGTACACAGTTAAAACCTGTACATTAACTAAAAGTTAGTAGAAAATTGATGGTCTGTTAATATTTTTCTTTCTATATAGGAATTGACAGAAGAGGGTCTTCCTTTCCTTATACTCTTTCATATGAAAGACGATACAGAAAGTTTAGAAAGGTTCCAACAGGAAGTTGCACGACAGTTAATAAGTGAAAAAGGTAGATGCTTGCTGTAATTATGTATATGTATATTGTATTATGTCTTTTAATTAATTGAATTAGGTGTTAGGCTGAATTGTTAGTTTTCTCTTATGCACAAGAACGATAATTATTGATACTGTGTTTTCTTATTAGTATAATATTTCAGCTTAATACTCTTTTACCACTGAAAAAATTAAGGCTTATTCTTGTGCACATTTAATGGAAAGTCAGCTATTGCAATCTACTAACTTAAAAATTCTCTGAAGATCTAGTTCTAAATAAATCTATATTAAAATTACATTGTTTTTCCTAAACAGCATATTTAACCTATTTATGTTAATACAAAATGGTCTTATCAACAACTTTTGTATATTCAAAATACTTTTACTCCAAACTAGATATTTACATATATTGTGGTGATTTACCTTTATGTTCTTATATTACATTCTCTAAAAATCTTAAAATTTGCTTCTAAATTTCAAGGTACCATAAACTTTTTACATGCTGATTGCGACAAGTTCAGACATCCTTTGCTCCACATTCAGAAAAGTCCAGCAGATTGTCCTGTTATTGCTATTGATAGTTTTAGACATATGTATGTTTTTTCAGACTTCAATGATTTGGCGTGAGTACATGTTTCCTTTCATCTTTGGTCATATAGAGTTAGGAAAAAGGGAAAAAATATTTTGGAAGGGAGAGGGTAAAAATCTTTTTTGTATTCAGTTGTATCATAAAAATTAAGTCTAGAGAACATTTTTTCATAGAAAGATTTCCTTGGGGTAATGTTTTTGGAGGATTTGGTGACAGTGGGGGATGGGGCAGAATTACTGCATACTTATTTACATACATTTCTTACATACCTCATTCAGCTCATCTTTACACCACCTTGTTACTACTTTTAAGGAGAGGAAGTAAATAAATGTAGATGGTAATCATTAAACTATCTTTTATGGGATTATTTATTGATTTATTAGATTTATCTCTGCTGCAGTAAAAGAGATTCTCAGCAACTTCCATCAATACAAAGTAATAAAATGACTATTCTAAAATAAAAAAAACAAAAATATAATATACAAATGTTAACATGAATAGTGCTGTAGTTGATGGTATCAATTCATATTTTAAATGCTTTATGAGAAGCTTAATTTTTAACAGCATACAGAAAGCCAACCCTGCAGGTAAATCAAATTCCTATGGGGCAGACCGTTGCTAAGTGCAGGTACTCCAATTGTAAAACAATTGCTTGTGAGCCTGTAAGGACCCACTTCAATCCCACATCTTAAGAAAGCAGAACTCTTGGAGACGGTTTCCTCCAACAGGAACTTTTATTAAAAATAGTTGATAGCAGGCATAATAGACAGGATCTGAGGGATTCCTTTGCAAATCGATACTTTAAAGTGTCCCCAAGCAAACCTCACCCCACAGTTCATCCAGACGGTTCAAACCGGCCAATCCCCAGGTGTTAAGCCCATCGTGGGAAAGGGGAGATAACATCAGTCCGGCTCCGGTCGTAGTGCACTGTTCAAGCAGCTCTTCACACCTCCTTTTGAGAATGGAGAAATAAGCCAGACTCTGGAGGTTGTGTTTCTTTCTCCCCATCTTTTCCTAGCTGACAAGTTAGGGAGAAGAAAGTTCAGAGAAAGATTCAGTGCAGGAAACAAATTGTTACATTGTAGCCGGCAGCAGACACAGAAGCAATAAATGAAGCAAAGGGTTACATTGTAGCGAATAGAGGAAGGGAAAGCAATAACCCCCCAGGCACATCCCCCCTCCCCCTTGGGAGTATGGCAGAACCCAGGGGAAGGTGAGATTTGTTTTTAGGTCAGAGAGGCTAGGTAGAAATGAAATAGGAATGGGTTCTGACAGAGCCCCATTCCTCTCACTTTATAGAAGTGTGTAACCATTACAAGTTTCTTCTAGGTCATATATTTCAGGTAGGTTGAAGATAATTTGTTTGTTTGTTTCATTATATGTATATAGTCACCCATCTCACAAAACATGTAAAATAAAAAGTCATAAAATAAATATTATTTTTAAAATTCTGTATTAAAAACATAAATCAGTATTACTGTTAACAGAAGTAGTAGTAGAAGGTTTGATGTTATAGACAATGCAGCCACAACATGTGATATGTTTTGAAGGCCAGAAGCATTTTACAGGCCATAAAGACTCTGTTTCAGGCCTGGCATAATTTTAAAGTCTAAAAGACCATTCGTAAGTATTGGATTTACTTGTACTGTACATTAATTATGGGAAACAATTCTGCATTCATCTGCAAATGAACATATCAATCCACCATTGTGCTCAGTCACAAAACTTGAGTTTACAGAGGAGAATCACTTTAAGCTGCTTCCAACTACTCCCAGGTCCCCACCTTTAGTCTCTCAAAGCATATGCCATCACATCTATACTGTTCTATCTTCATAATTATTTTTCTGAGCAGATTTCTAAACAAAGCGGTAGATAGAAGTAGCTACCATATTTATTTTGCAAGAATGGCTTCAAAGCTTCATAGAAGAATTTGTTAAAATCAAAGATAATTCTGGAGATTGGTACTGAACTTTGAGTATGCCATTTCTTATTTAAAATTCTTTGGAAAGGTTACACTGAAGCAGGAAGGCTTGCACACACCAAAAAAGGGGTTTATGGATTGGTTTGATAATTTGTTTTGATTAATTTCTGTTTCTTTATACTTAATGTACTAGTTGAGTTTTTTATTCTTGAAATTCTGGCAGTTACAATTCTATCTTCACATAGTCTTTAGTTTATGGAAAAAATAGATTATCTCAGAGGAAATTTAAATTGATGTCCTTTTAACATTCATTTCTGTTCTTGCAATTACTTAAGCAGAAGAACTTTCAGAAACATTGTTATCAATATAAGTTACAGATAGCCATTTGTATTGTATAAACTCTGCATTTGGCACCTAATGTTCTCTGCAGTATTGTGGTGAGCAGGGAGTTGAAGGTAGCAAGCAATGAAATTAATGGGCAGCTAAGCTCTATGGGAATTAATAAAGAGGCAAAATGCTGCCATGCTTTTAGGCAATCACAAAAAGAAAAAAGAGATAGTAGGATAATTTGTCTCCCAGTTATAATTCAGTTCCTGATCCTGCATTATTAACCCTAAAAATATCTTGAATATGTGAAATATCATTAATATGAATTAAGAAAGATTAATATTTTTTGTTTAGATTTTGAGCTAATCTTTTGAATTTAGTGTAAAGACTTGCCTGCTCCTTTGCTTAAGCTATGGAATAGTGTTCCAGTGGAGGTACTCAATTCCCTCTATTTGCCTGCTTTTAAATAATTTTTAAATTAAAAGCCATATTGAGATATAAAGAATGGTGACTTAATTTCCCTGACAATGTTTAAAGAAACAATGGTTGGAAACTGATGAAAGAGAGAAGCAACCTGGAATTAAGGAGAAACTTCCTAACAATGAGGACAATTAACGAGTGGAACATCTTGCCTTCAGAAATCGTGGACGCTCCCATCACTGGAGATTTTTAAGAAGAGGCTAGACAGTCATTTGTCTGAAATTGTATAGGTTCTCCTGCTTGAGCTGGACTAGAAGCCTTCCAGCTTCTATTCTATTCTGTTCTGTTCTGTTCTATTCTATTCTATTCTATTCTATATGAGCCTACTCTAGGCTTAATTATGTATATACTTGCTACTGTAGCGCTTAAGATGATCATGGGGTTGACTAGTGATTGAGATGATTTGATGATTTTTATATGTAATCTTTATTATATGGTACTTTGAGTTGGATCTTATGCTATCTAAAGTGCAGTGTTTAATATTACTTAAAATGTGATATATCATTGCAGTGTTCCTGGTAAACTCAAGCAATTTGTACTAGATTTACACTCTGGGAAATTGCACAGAGAGTTTCATCATGGTCCAGATCCAACAGATATAGCACCTGGTCAGGTAAGAAATAAAGTATTCCAATATATCTACATTAAGAGAACATTGGAATTTTGTAATGTCCAAGTAAAATTTTCATTTCTCTCATGAAAGCTGGATAAATTTCAAAAATAGAGCAGGATAGGATTAGGCAGCTCAGGAAATAAATGTTAGTACAGCCTGTAATGCTTTGGAATATGGGTCAGCATACCTGTAGAACTTGACATCAGTTTTCTAAAGCAAGCATATATTTCCCCAATGTCACTTTACAGGGAAACCGCTTCTTTAATGAGTTGTTGACAGATGCTACATGAACAACTTCAAGTGTTCTAAACTTTTGTAGGCTTCAAGTCTAAAGCATCGCACAGCCTATAATAATTAAGGGCAAATAATTATTTGCTTGCTTTTTTTCTCAGCAAGATTTGAAATAATTCTTGGTATATTCCAATGCCACTTCGATTCCTGATAGGATTTAACTTTCATTCAGCAGATTCTTCCAATAATACCTCCAATCACAATCCTCCTTTCCTCTTCTTCCTTGATTTTTTTTTACCAGAGAAAAAATTGTAACTATTTTGAAACCTTCAGGGTTGTAGTGATGGAGGTAGAGCAAATCCAAGTCCATACTTAATGGTATAATACACCGTATGATTTTGACCCAATCAGTGTTTCTTAAGCCAGTTTTTATCATTGATGTAGAGAAAAATTGGAGAAGGAAATATATTTATATCATTTTGAACTCATACAGTACATGCATCTGACATATTTTTTAAATACATGTATCTGTTGATTCCTAGTATATCTTCCCACTTTTTTGCCTAGAACAAAATCTCTCTCTCCTCAAAGCTGTAGTTCTAGCTCTCCGCTTAGGTTTTAAAACAACTAACTTTCTATTTTATTGCTTTCTTCGCATTGCTTGTCAGAGTTCTAAAATGGAAAAAAAAAGTTATTTCAATGCTTGCAGAACAAAAATGTTTCCTGGAAATCAATATCTAGTCAATTAAAAGCTAGTAACAATGTTTTAAGACAACATCAGGATCAGTCTTCCAAATAGCCTCATTCTATTTGCTTTTCTTCCATATGGGGCTAAGGAGTTCTTTGGAACCCAATTGATACAGCGTCTCAGGAAACCTATTCTCACTGTCATAACAATCATCACAAAATGTTCAATTAGCAACTCTGAGTGCCAGCAAACACCAGACTTTATTTGTCAGAGCTTTACCTGAGGTCAGTCATGCTTAGCAGCACTGTATTCTAAAAATAGAGGGTAACCTTGAATGCCCTTTGGGTAGAAATATAAGGGTTTAATTCAGATAATAAACATATAACAAACAAGAGAGTTTTTTTTGCTGTAAGTAATTATTTTGCTCTTTTGCTCCTTTTCTGCTTGTAACCATCTGTATATCAACTGTTTAGCATCCATTCAAGAAGATGGATTTTAATATCTTACTGTTAAATTGGATTCCATGACAGGAGAAGCTAGTGGGAAAAATAAAAACAGCACAGGAAGCTCATGTTGGTCACATAAAAAGTTCAGTGAAATCTGAACACAAAAAGGGAAGTAGGAAGGAAAAGTTAGTAAGTGGTTTCAGAAAAGCTAAAAATCAGAATACAATTGACAAAGGATACATATAAAAAAACCTAAATATTCCAGAATATTCAAAATAAAAGAAATTAAAAGATTCAGGATACCATCTACTCAGTGAATAAGGTAAAAGACCAACTGGAGAAAAAGAAAAGTTAATATTAATTAAGCCCTATTCTGGCTTTGTCTTCTCCAACAAGAGGGCATGTATTCCGCGAGGGGGTTGTGAAGAATATGATTGAAATTTGTACTTTTATTTTTGTTGTTATCTCTCTTGGATGTGTGGAGATATAAATATCCTGCAGACAAAGAATATGCCTACTATTCTTCAGTTCATTAAAATAATGGAAAGATATGTGTTGGATTTCTAGTTCATTGTTAATCAACTTTATAGACCTGGAGGTGGCAGCTCTTACTTACATGGTTAATAATCCAATAATTGTAAGGCTAAGCAGATTATTATTATTATTATTTATTGAATTTATATACCGCCCTATCTCCCTTACGGGACTCAGGGCGGTGAACAGGTGATAATAAAAACCACGATAAATATACACAAGTTTCTGTTCTAAAATCAAATTAAATAACAGGCCTGCTCTAAAAGTACCCCATACAAAAGATGAACATGTAGATCAAATATGGAGACTTAATGATTTATTATTATTACAAGAGGATATTAAACTAATTATTAGCAGGAATTAAAGAGCTTCCAAAACAATTTAATTTGTGATGTATCACATCCCCTTTTTGTTCAAGTTGAATAAGGTGTCAGTTGACTATGAAATTGCATTTCAGGTTTGCCTGTGATAAAATAGCACAGAAAAGGTGACTTGCCTAAGGCAAGAATTTGTTGGACTAGCCTACACTTAGCAATATTATTATTTTGGTACCACAATTAATTGGTACTGTGTCTGAATCTTTTATCTTTAATGTTTATCACTTGTTCTAGAAGATTGTTTTATTCTTTTCAGCCACTCCAGGACATAGTAAGCAGCCCACCAGAGAGTTCATTTCAGAAGCTAGCACCTAGTGGACATAGATACACTTTATTGCGGGAAAAGGATGAACTCTGAAGACTTGAAAACAACGTTCAGTCAGCAGTTGTAACTCCTGTGGGGTGGAAATAGGAAACCTATATTTTCTTAAATTCTGTTTGTTTTATTTTGAATAATATCTTGTTTTTCTGTGCTCCCTGGGGTTTGTAAATATGTGTGGGCCATTTTTGGACAAGGTCTTTCCAAAGTTTTTCTTGCTGCAAATTGATGTAAACCTTTTCTAAACAAATGAAAGTGTTGTCAATACCAGCAACATGCTGTTAACTTGCACTATCTAATTAAACAAAACTTCTTGTTTTTCATTGGTGTAATCTGGTGGTATGGTTGTCTTACCTTTTTCCTCAAGTGAATATAATTTTGTTAATTTGCTATTGAAAGAATATCCTGAATTCTTGGGTGGGGAATAAATTGCAATTTTACAGAATTTGTGTGATGCTACATTACTTATTTTTACAATATAATTCATTTTAAAGTGGAAATGAAATGGAGAAAATGTTCAGTGGGGCCCATTATCATTTGCTGAAGTATTTGTGTCAATGAGGGAAAATTGTTAAACACACGTCCTTTAGCTTAAAAAGCAAAATCCCAATAAATAGATTTTAGGAGAGTCCCTCCTTCTCACATCCCTTTTATGAGAACTCTCCATTTTTTTTAAAGCAGTTATTAACTTAACGTAATATTCTCTTATCCCATGACTCCTTATTTAACTCTAATTATGAATACTCATATATTGATGAAGTAATAATTAATAGAAATATCACTGCAAAAACAATATTTTGCCATTTATAAATAGATGCATAATAACATTTTGATGTTCAAAACATTTTTGAGACTATAATAGAAAACATTAGGGGAAAAAAATCATCATTTTTTAAAGTCGAGAAGGTGGCAGCAGTTAGCCAATCTTGAAAAATCATCTTGTTAATATTTGATTGGTAGACCACCAAGAAATGTCAAGGCTATAGTTAGTCTGGGAAGTTGGAAAATAAAAATGGAAGAAGATAATTTCAATACTATCATATTGTTACTGAGAAAAATATGTGGTAATGGAACCACACTCAGTTTAAAAATAGTTTTAAATATATTATTATTGTTATGGGGTTCTTGGTGTACTCTGAGCTTGGTTGGATGTTTGCAGACATTTCATTACCCATCTAAGTAACATCATTAATGCTAGTGAGTGTGAGGAATGTGAATGGAGTGGGGCAAACCTACTCTTGTCTACAGGCAAACATCAAAGCTCACGAGAGCACCAAGGACTTTACATTTCAATCTTATGCCACATATATTCTATTCTATTATTATTATATTAATTACTTGGTTAATGAATTTTGAATGTTCAGAATCAACTTTATTTAGAACATAATTACAATTATGATCAGTCTTCAGTATGTTTGCAGTACTGGGTAAAATCATGAGGCAGAGGCTGATCAGAATGTCTAAAAATAAATGAACCTTTAGGTTTTTAAAGAGTATATAATCCTATAAACACAGTCCTAATTTCTAATATACAATCAATACATTTTTAAATTCCTTTCTGTTTTCAAGATCAGAGCATTGTCTTAGAATACATGAAATTACTATATTTCCTTCACAATGAAAACAATTTGAACTACTGATAGTTGTGGATTTCCATAATACAGGGCTAAAGTGCTGCCCCTTAATACAGTGTATGTTTTCAAACAAATCAGATTCTTTCTAATATTTTGAACTGACATATTTCCTCAGTTACAGCATGCTTTACTTGTTCTGCAAGTGTTCATGTGTTAAAATGTATGGTAATAAATAATTATTAGAATTTTTCAACCATTTCTTTCATGCAAACTGTTAAATAACAAATAATTTTGTGGAACACATTGTTTGCTCAGTAGGCAACACTATAATTACAAGTGCCACTGTGTGCATGCTCCAAATAATGTCTATGGGTCAGCCAGATTTTTAAAAATTCAAATTTTAGCCTTTTAAAATATTTTTTAGTTTTGATGTTTGTATCACAGTTGTGAACTACTAAAACCCATGGAGCTAATTAATGAATAAAAAAGAAAAAAGTTGGACTTTGGAAACCTTTCTTTTTTCCCAAGAGATCACAGTGTTTCTCTATTATACATTAAAAAAGTAAGCAATTTGATATTTATTTTATTTCATTTAATATTAATATAAAAACAGAATAAAGAACAGCCTGTTGAATAAATGGCATACAACATTTATTTATGTGTTTGTAAACAAATATACACAAAATCATACATTTTGTCTAATATTTACATCTATTTTGTCTAACATGACATTGTAGCCTAGTTGGTTAACTGCACTTGGTTTCATCTTCTGCCCTTGAAATTGCCCCTTCTGCTTTGCAATAGAGTTATGTTTTTCACACTAGAGTTTTTATGTTGAAAAATATCCATGTTTTCAAATTTAAATGACAACAGGTTTCTAATCTTAATTCCCAAATAATTTTTATTCAGACTGTCATAGCTATCTCAAAGGTGCTTTTTCAGTTGTGATGAAAACTGATGAAGCTTCTTGGATGAGAAGCAAAACATTTTATTATTCTTCCTCAAGGAAAAAAACAATCCAGCTGCCTTTTGAAAAAGCACCTATGAGACAATTATGACCTGGTTGATTGAGAATCTACACAGAAATGCTGTCATAGCTACTTTCCCTTTGGTTTCTTTTGTGAGGACAATAAAAACCACATGGTTTTGTGCATCGCTGAGAATATCACTTCAGGTATCACTGGACCACTGTTGCCAACAAACATCCCTCCAAAAAGCTTATGGTAAAAGATGTTGGAACTAACTAAACAGCTACAGATCTCTCACCCTTGATGCATATTTGAATTGTAATCTCTGACAACTGTATAAATATGAAAAATCTCATCAGCTTTGTTCATTCAGTGAAGTATATGTGTCAAATTCTAAATCTGAGGCACCATCGAAGTTATGTGATTTACAAAAATGCTACCAATATAGGAAGGATTATAACTACAATGGTCTCACTAACGTTTATATTCTGAAATTGCATCTGTTTTTTTCACATGGAAGTACATTGTACCTCACATATGAACTGTATATGATACATGCATGTAACAACTAGGCAATAAAGTCAAGAAACTAGGAGCACAAGTAGTGTTTTCATCGGTATTCCCAACAAAAAGCCAACACCCATTGAGGAAAAAAGAATTTTAGAAATAAACCATTGGCTAAAGGGTTGGTGTCACCAAGAAAATTTTGGTTTCCTGGATCATGGACTGCATTTCCTACATGAAGGACTCTTGGCAAGGGATGGGCTACACCTCACGAAAACAGGCAAAAATGTACTTGGAAAAACTGGCCCAACTCATCAGGAGGGCTTTAAACTAAAACCGAGGGGGGAGGGTGAACAATCTCTAGAATCTCTAGAACCCAAAACCAATCACAAATCCCAAGAAAACAAATCAAACAATGAGGTAGGCAGTGATGAAAAAAGAAAAAACAACAACCAGGAGATACAGGAAACATTCCCATGGACAGGCATAAAAGTCTTAAATGCTTATATACAACTGTTCAAAGCCTGAGGAACAAACAGGGCAAACTAGAAGCAATAGTACACGAGGATGGGTATGACATAGTTGGCATTACAGAAACCTGGTGGGATGAAACCCATGAATGGAATGGACTGATGGATACAAATTGTTCAAAAGAAACAAGTCTACAAAAAGAAGAGGGGGAGTTGCACTATATGTAAGAGAACACTACATATCTGCAGGAATGCACATCATCAAAGATAGAATCTCTCCAGAATGTATATGGGTCAATATAAAAGAAAAAGTGACATTGCCATAGGTGTATATTACAGGCCACCCAACCAATCAGAAAAAATAGATGAACTCTTTGCCAAATAGTTAACAAATGCATGTAGGAAGCATACCACAGTAGTAATAGGAGACTTCAACTATCCAGATATCAACTGGGAGACAAACTCTGCAGTGAGTGGGAGATCAAGCAGATTCCTAACCAACCTAGCTGACAACTTTGTCACCCAAAAGGTGGAGGAGGGAACTAGACGTAAAGCTATACTGGACTTAATCCGTACAAACAGAGAAGAAGTGATAGACTAGAGGGAATCAAAATTACCAGAACCTTGGCCGAAAGTGACCACGTCATACTGGAACTTAATATAATGCAAACACTAGCAATAGAAAACAATCAACCAATGTCCTAAACTTCAAAAGAGCCGACTTTAACAAACTCAGAGAGAACCTAGGAAAAACCCCATGGATGAAAATCCTGAAGGGTAAAGAAAGCATGGGAAACCCTGAAAAATGCGATCATAAAAGCCCAGACCATCACAATACCACTGAGAAAGAAAAACAAGAAATTCAAGAAGAAACCAGCATGGCTGCACAAAGATCTCTGTAACAAACTAAAAGACAAAAAGGACAAATACAAAAAATGGGTGATACATAACTAAAGCCAATTATCAGCAGACAGCCAGAACATGCAAAGATGAAGTCAGGAAAGCAAAGGCTCAGAATGAACAAAGACTTGCAACAGAAATCAAGGACAATAACAAAAGGTCTGATGTGGTTCCCATCTTCAAGAAGAAAAAAACGGACCCAGGAAACTACAGACCAATCAGTTTAACATCAAAACCTGGGAAGATCCTAGAAAAGATAATCAAAAAACAGATCTGCGAATAACTAGAAGCAAACAAAGTCATAACTAGTAGCCAGAATGGGTTTGTTAAAAACAGATCATACCAAACCAATCTCATTTCATTCTTCAATAAAGTAGATAGCGAAACACAGTGGATGTAGTATACTTAGATTTCAGTAAGGCATTTGATAAGGTAGACCACAATCTACTCCTGCGTAAGCTAGGAAAAGATGGAATAAACAACATCACCACCAGATGGATCTATAGCTGGCTAACAAACAGTACTCAATGAGTAGTCCTCAATGGCACTACATCCACATGGAGAGAAGTAAGCAATGGGGTACCACAAGGTTCCGTCTTAGGCCCAGTACTCTTCAATATCTTCATAAATGACTTTGATGAGGAAATTGAAGAGGAACTCATCAAATTTGCAGATGACACCAAACTGACAGGAGAAGACAAACTCAGGATCCAAAAAGATCTTGACAAACTTGAACAATGGGCCTTATCCAACAAAATGAGTTTCAGTGTGGAGAAAAGCAAAGTCTTACATTTACGCAGGAAAAACCAAAGGTACAAATACAGATTGGGCAAGACCTGGCTTAAAAACAGTAACTGTGAGAGGGATCTTGGAGTCCTAGTGGACAATCACTTGACTATGAGCCAGCAGTGTGCAGCAGCAGCCAAAAAAGCTAATACAATCCTGGGTTGTATAAACAGGCATAGAATCAAGATCACATGAAGTATTAGTACTGCTTTATAAAACCCTAGTAAGACTATACCTGGAATA